CATGTTAATAATAAAACCTGACGTCCACTTTTCGATACTTAACTGCGAGTTCTGTTTTCGCTTAACAACACATAATCGGCCATTTTTAAAATGGACTTCACTTTGTGAAATAAATTCATCTAGTTCCGTTGCAGATTTTAGTAAGAGAGAAAGATATATGAATTGTCCTTCCTATATTTTCAATTTAAGCTTATGTGGTATATGAGCGGCTATACTGTCCGCTGAGCAAGTTTGCTAATGTGGTAACCCTGCCATGTGAATGAGTGACTCACCCGGGGGGGTCGGTTGTTGAGATGCTCACGTCTCAGGGGGGATAGCCTTTGGACTCATCGGGAACTGGCACCTCCTACAGGCACTGTGCCTGTGCCTCAGCGGGGCTTCGGATGCAGCGATTCTTTCTTCCCTTTGCCCGAGCTGGCGAACCCATCGGCCTCTTTCGATTATTACTTCTGTCTTTAGTTTTCACAGGCGGTAGGATTGCTTTTTAAATAAAAAAAAAAACCTGTAGGGTTTTTAGCAGGGGTATACCGAATATCGAGTATGATTAACTTGTGCGTAGTTGAAGCTTGCGTGATAATTCATACATAGTTTAAACCATCAATACAGGGTGTCCCAAAATTAATAATGACTATTTTAAATAAAATCAAATAATCCTGATTATATGTCTACATTATTGGTCAAAGTCAGACTCACAGTCTCATTTAATGTACAGGTTTAGTATCTGTGTTTTTTCACCATCCAAATTGATAAGAAGTAAAAGAGAAATAGAAAGATAACCAAGGATCGACTTCAAAAGAAACTCCCTTGGAACCACTATTACCAGTAAGATTAGTTACATATGTAAAGCTGCGATCCCTAAGCTATAAAGAAAACGTTCCCAGCAATACCCGTTCAAGAGAAGTCGAGGTTAATATAGTATTAAGCATACAGTTTGTTTTATTTTTATAAAACCAAAATGATTTCCTCAAATTCTAAAATATTGAATAAATGTATTCTGTTTTACTAACAGGGAAAGAAGATATTTTATTCTTTTGAGGAAAATGATTTATTGACCAATGAAAACATTTCATTTTTACTTTTTATGAAGTTCTTCAAAGAAGGAACTTAATTGTTAGGGAGTTTATGAAGTTCTTTTACCACCCAAGAATGTTTTCATGATTTTTTTTTAATATTTGGTCATTCTGTAATTTTTAGTGATGTGAGGTTTTATGTGCTTATAAACATGATTTTAAGATTGCCATTCCTGATTCCAACTTCTATTAAAAAAGCCATTCATACTTCACCGTGTACATCATATGTCAATAATGCACTAACCATTTCATTCTGACTTGTGTTTTGAACATTTATTATCATATTCAATTGACAGCTGCCTCAACCTGTAACTTTTGGACAGCCTGGATGCAGTGCTTATGTCCCCATTGCACCAAAGACAAAACAAGGTATGTTGTCCTGTACTCGGCACCCAGGGCCATTGAGCAGGGAGGGATCTTTTTCATGCCAGCACCTATTATATATGTAAGAATTATCAGTATATATATGCAAATTTCCCCAATTAGTCTTTCCTAATTCCTATTATTAATATAACTGTTCCTGAAGACAAAGAAAACAAAAGGCCAGCAAGCTTAAGCAAATTGTTTTCTTTTATGACAATAACAGATCATCCCAGTGAAGGTATTTTTATCAATGATAGGGCATTAGCAGATTTACTGTGTAAAAATCTAATTTCAAAATAAATCATGGTTAAATAAACTTTGTAAAATTTGCACACTCGTTGTAAGTGCGCTGTGCATATTGATTGAAAACAAAGATCGTAAACACGATAAACTCATTATAATTCACAATTTTTGCTTCCCTTCACCCAAAGATGCTATACGCCAAATTTGATTGAAATTGGTTCACTGGATCCAGAGAAGAAATTAAAAATGTTCAAAAATTTACGAACGACATTTGATGGACAAAATCAGAGAGCAATAGGTCCCCTGATTGACTAAGGTGACCTAAAAGTAGGAGAGATCCAGCACACATCCTACACACCTCTTTATTTTATCATATCAACTTTTGATGCATTAATGAATATAAATGTACTAAATAATGCCGAAGATATAGCAGGAATTTTAACAAAACAAAAATATAGAATATGCTGGATCCATCCTACAAAGTAAACAAAAACCAAGTTTAGAAGTGCATCATTGAATTCATTTCATTAAGATCATCATCATCTGAATCATACTCATGTGACAAAGTATCACTGTCACTGGAGGAATCGGTTCAAGCCTAGTATTCCGACGGTCTGATAGTCCGACGGTCCGATAGTCCTACGGCCCGGTAGTCCGGTATTTTGACCATCACCAATATTTTTAAGATTTAAAATTAATCCTATCGGACATTATTTCAAGGAAATTACGAGAGACTGCTAAATCCGACAGGGCTGATCATATAAATAAATAAATCAGACAATGTCTTACAAAAACTTCTAATGCGTGAACTGAAAATCAGCGAAACCGAGTGCATAATTATAATTTGGTCTTTCCTCCTTTCCGTGGAAAGACCCCTTGAAATGCTTATGTTTATTATTAGGTCTTTCCACCTTTCTCGGGAAAGTCAGGGTCTTTCGTCTTCAGCGGAAGACCCTTCTATTGTTCTATTTTGCTTCTTTTTCACTTTTCTTTCTATTTTTTCCTTACCGATTTTGTCCAGAGGATTTCTCAGAAATGTCTGGATCTATTCGACTCAAATTTTCAGACTTTGTACTAAGTTTTTATCTGAAGTTTGTACCGGTAATTCCATTTTGAAAAATTCACTTCCGGTCGCAAATTATTGCCCTTTAATCGAAATTTAGAGGACCTCCTTGTCTGTGATGAAACTCAACAAGAGGCCCATGGGCCACATCGCTCACCTGAGAAGCTTTGACAATTCTGTCCTTTACTAGATTTACCCCTTGTAATACATATTGTGACCCCACCCTACCCCACTGATCATAATTTAGACAATTTGAAATCTACACTACCCCAGGATGCTTCCATATAAGTTTCAGCTTTTCTGGCCCAGTTGCTATTAAGAAGAAGATTTTCGAAGATTTTTCCTATATATTTCTATGTAAAACTTTGATTCCCAATTGTGGCCCCGCCCAATCCCCGGGGGTCATGATTTGTATAATTTAAAATCTTCACTATCACAGGATGCTTCCACATAATTTTCATCTTTTCTGGCACAGTGGTTCTTGAGAAGAAGATTTTCAAAGATGTTTCCTATATATTTCTATGTAAAACTTTGATTCCTCATTGTGGCCCCGCCCAACCCCCGGGGGTCATTATTTGAATAATTTAGAATCTACACTACCCTAGGATGTTTCCACATAAGTTTCAGCTTTTCTGGCACAGTGGTTCTTGAGAAGAAGATTTTCAAAGATGTTTCCTATATATTTCTATGTAAAACTTTGATTCCCCATTGTGGCCCCGCCCAATCCCCGGGGGTTTTGATTTGAACAATTTAGAATCTACACTACCCTAGGATGTTTCCACATAAGTTTCAGCTTTTCTGGCACAGTGGTTCTTCAGAAGAAGATTTTCAAAGATTTTTCCTATATATTTCTATGTAAAACTTTGATTCCCCATTGTGGCCCCGTCCAATCCCTGGGGGTTATGATTTGAACAATTTAGAACCTACATTACCCCAGGATGCTTCCACATAAGTTTCAGCTTTACTGGCCCAGTGGTTCTTGAGAAGAAGATTTTTTAATGACCCCACACTATTTTTGTCTTTTCTTGATTATCTCCCCTTGCGAGGGGATATGTCCCTTCATTTTAACAATTTAAATTCCCCTTTACCCAAGGATGCTTTGTACCAAGTTTGGTCAAAATTGGCCCAGTGGTTCTTGGGAAGAAGTCGAAGATGTAAAAAGTTTACGGACGGACAAGTAGTAATACCGACACCTGAGGGGAGTATACAATGGGGGTATTGTGTAAGAGAACAATGGGGAGAACAATGGGAGAACAATGGAGGGGACAATGGAGACCCAGATGACCTTGACCGACTTATGGTCGAGTGCCCTTGGACAATGGTGTAGCCTTGACCTAGAAAGGGGAGAGTACAAGGGAACAATGAGGTATAGAAAAAAGGGAACAATGGAGAGTGGGAAAAACCCAGTGACGTCAATGAGACCAAACGATATGTTCACAAAGGGTTGTTCACGGATCCCTAACTGGGGATTTTCCATCAGGGATTTCGTTGGTACCCCTTTATGGGTTTTTTATTCTCCTTTTACGCATTGATACAAGTAACAATGAGACACGGAATCCAGTTATACAGTGAATAAAGAATATCAATATGGATACGAGAAGTTAAAAAAGAGGACGCCGTGGAGATTTAAATATGACCTGTATAGTGGAGATCGTAGTAAATTTGTTCATTCAACTATGTGACATCTAGTATACACAAGAGTCAAATGAGGGTATTTAAATAATGAACTCATTTGAGAAGCGTTGACTTTTAAACAGGGACGGTTTTACTTTTTTACAAAAAAAGGAATATATCGTCTCTTCCGTTTACAAATAATGTGAGAGTTTTTTTGTTTTTTTTTAATATCAATTCCTTACTTCGATACATAATACATAAAAAAGTTAAAACTGACAACTGTAAGAGTCAATGCTTCTCGAAAAAGTTCATTACCTGTAGGATACAGGTAAAAATCGGAATAAATGGATCCAATCAAGCATACGAATAGTGAACTTGTAGTAAATAAATCCAAGCATGCGTGTATACAATTAAATGATTTCAGATCAGGTGTTTTTCTCTATTTGTCTATCCTTGCAGTCCCTTCTCCAAAAAAATGACAGAAACAATTCCAAAAACATTCTTATTTTTTAATGAAAAAACAAATAGTTTCCAGTTAAACATTGCATACTGTAACTCCGCACTGTTTTTTATCTGAAAAGAAATAAAAAAAAAATTCGATGTAAGATTTATTAATATTTCACAGTGAACTTGTATTCCCCTTATCGCTACCCCCCGAAAAAGTTGAAAAAGAATAATCTAAGTCCAAAGAAGAATTTTTTATACGATAATAATTTAATGACCGTATATTATATTTTAAAACTATTTACGATGTTTTTTTTTTCTTTTTCCTAGTTCTTCTTCTTTTCTTCTTTTTCCTTTTCGTCCTCGTCCTTATCCTCGGGACTAAAAAAAAAAACAATTGTCAAGACTTATATATGTTTTATCTTAAAACGATTGTGTGAAAATCTCTCTTTTAAAATAAAAATAAGTAAAATGGGTAGAAGGATATTTTCAATTACCTTAAGTTGAAGGTAGACATGTTTAACATGTCAAAGGTACTCCCTAAAAGGGAGTACCTTTCGGTCTCCGCGGTCTCCGCGCCATTTCCACTCCTGGAATAATAAGAGTTCAGTATAAATAAATAAATATATATATATTATATATATATATTTAATATATATTAAAGGAGGAAAAACTCAGGTGTGATTTGGGGAAAAAAAATAAATAAATCACTTACTCATCACTAATTGTGATGATATCTATGACAGGCCTGTAAAAAAAAAAAAATCAATGTTTTAATAATGATGTAAAAGAAGTGTATACAATATTTTTTGTATTTTAAGACTAATCATTGCAATAACTATACTAACATATTTCTTCGCCTGGGGGCATTGGGTGGACATCTGTGTAGAAGAAAATAAAAGGGGGAGAATAGTTAAAACATTTTTACTAACAATTTAGAGGATGAAGTTTGATCAAAATCCTTTTAGAAAAAATATACTAACCCCAATGCTGCCGCGGGGCGCTGAGGGGTCTCGCTATAAAGAAAAGCAAAGGATACACAATTTGCAAATGAAAGAGTATACACTATTGCCTTTATTATGAAGAAGTGGAAATTTGTTTAAAATCATGACAAAAAAAAAATACTAACTCTCCAGCGGTTGCTGTTCTACGTCTACTTGGTTCTCTATTTTAACAGAAATAAAAATGTGTCGAATACATAAATTGAATATTAATTAAAGAAAAGGTATAATTTCATATTTATTGATTATGATCTCTCGAAAAATTTTCTGTAAAATAAACTTACTCAGTAGGCGTACTGAAAAATGAGATAAAAATGAAAAATTGAAAGATGATCTTTTTATGGTAACATTAACAAATGTCAATGAAAAAAATGTATGATTTTTAAATATAATCATTAATCTTGAATGTGAAAAAAAAAATATTGTATATTAATTTTATCTGATCATAATACCTTTGATAAGAATTATTTATGATGAACTAAGTGAAAAAAAAAAAAGAAGGAAATCTTTTCAAGTAGAAGTAGAGAAAAAAAAAGTAAAATTATGGGAAATACCTCGTCATTGGGCCCCTTCGTTTGTTGGAATAGATATCCATGCTATAATTGAAAAAAAAATTAATATTGGACATACCTGATGCTTAAGAATAACATCCAAAGAATCATAACTCCAGGAAGGAATAAAAATACTCACGGGCAGGGCAGGCTTCCAACCTGCTCACATATACAAGTTAGTTTTTCGATGATGTCTTTGACATCATCGCATATGCATCGGCTTAAAAAAAAAAAAAGAAGAAATAAATATCTCTGAAAAGAAGTTACGATTTTTTTTTTCAGACTCAAAAAAAAAAAAAAAAAAAGAATGAAAATCATGAAGTACCGTTCCATGGTCAAAGACAAGGGGGTCCAAAAAGAAGGAGTGAAGATTAGCGCGTTTTTTCCTCTTTTGTATACGGTGAAGAGTCAGTGTTAATTATTATTACTGAATTTTGATTGGAAAGGGTATCTTAACAACCAAAAAAAAACCGGTTTTTCTTTTCTTCATTTTTAAAGGAAAAATGTCAAATTGTTAAAGATGACCTAATATGGTAAAACTGTGTCATACAGGACCCCTCCCCGTGTAGTCGAAAGAACTCCCGAGTCAGATTGAGTAAAATTAATAGGAGAATGCGGGAACACCCCAGACAACAATAGATAAAGACAATAAATAAAACTTTTCTGATACGGGTGATAATGAATCAATTAAGAAGACATGTTAACTATGTTAGTAGGTAATCATTGTTTAAATGTACTTTATGTCCCATTTTAATAAAATACTTTCCAGTTATTACACATTTCCAATTTTGTATAAGCGGTTGTATTCATCTAAAAAAAAAATTATTTCTTCTGATTTTGCATCGAAAAAAAAAATGGCATTACGTATTATTTTATGGTTGATGACCACTTCTTTCGTCTATGGGTGTGATCTTTCTCAGGAATGCATATATTATTTGGGTGAATTTGTCGAGTGTCCTGGGGAGGAGGCCTGTGTGTATTCAGGTAGAGTGGTACAGGTGAACTGTTGGATAGAGAAAATCCAGTTATGGTTCCCCATTGAAGAACTCAGGATTAAAGGAAATTGTCCAATAGAGAACTTCAAGAAATTCTGTCAGGACGGAGTCAAGACTATCCTCATGTTGGACTCGGACGAGAAATTTACCTGTACAGGTAACTAAGTGGATTGGGGATTTTTTCTTTTTAAATTTTTTTTTTTTAATGAATGAATCGTTTCAGATATTGAGATGTACTCTATCATTTAAGTGTTAAAAAAATATATATTTATCGAATATGTATTTATAACTCACGTATACTTATAAAATTTCTTAAAAACTCTGTAATTGACTACCTTACAATTTATGAGAATAAAAGGGGGGACGTATCCAAAAAAAAAAAGAAAGAAAAAAGGTGAACGTGACATAGTTTTCTATCTGCGCCGTTACTTGGGTGAAATGATGACAAAGCGTAATTTGATACAGCTACCTGTACTGTGCCTCATTAAAATTGATGATCAAACAAAATTGAAAACGTGAGAAAACTCCGCCTACTGCCAATTAATTGTATTCGCGCTTTGTCTTCAGCATGGGCCGAGGACTATTTTTGAACTGGGCCGTGCAAAGACCATTTGCGGAGGTATGAAGAAAGGAGTAAAATATTTTTATTTATTACCAAGGTAAAAGAAAAAATATAATTAGTGGAATATTTTTTTGTCTGTATTTGTATAGAAATGTCATCATCGGCGACGCTGCCATCATCGGCCCGATCGGGGACGAGTTTTGATGTGGAAGAACGTGAGTTCATTCGTGTTGTGCACTGATCTGTAGAAATTCTGAAAAATGATAAATCAAATGCGATATTCCTTGTTTATGAATTTAATTTGAAAAAAAAAAAATAAGTAAAACAAATCCATTATTTAGAGGAGAATTTCTACAGATATATTGAGTTTTGTTTTGTTGCCACTCTGTTATACCCCCGTCCCCCTAATATTTAACTTGATTTTCTTTTTGTTAATTTTCTTTTTTTTTTAATTTGTTGATCTAATAATGTTTTTATGAGTTAAGTCGGTTTGTTCGTTTTTTTTAAATGTGTTACGTTTTGCATTGGAACTTTGTGACTCAACTATTTTTAAAAGAAATTGAGATGCTTTCAGATTATTGTTTTATTAACTTTAGATACTGACATTCGTGAACACACCATTTCTACAGATTACTATGTCTCTTCAACTCGCATGCAGTCTTCAAACACTGCGACGTCAACCGACCTATCAAACCCCTCGTCCTCGCCATCGACATTTGCATACCAAAAGATGACGACCCACCCTGCATTGCATTCATCTACCCCGGAATTATTGACGACAAGCCCACACACATATTCAATCACCACTTTCACCCCCCACACCGCTACATATCAGAGAAAGACAATAATACCCTCTTCTGTTATATCATCATTACCCCTTCAGTCAACATTATACAGTTCCCGCATACACTCAACTAGATTTAATGACCATACAACCGAAAAGTACACAACACCCAGTTCCCCTAACACGAGTACAACTGAGGACATCAGCACCACGGAGGGCGTGACGACCAGGGGTAGTTCAGCAGAGGACACCCGGGGTACTAAGCATGGACGTTTCATATATCTTTACATATTACTAGCCATTCCTATATTTATTTTAGCATGTGTGTGTATATTAAAATATAAACAAAGGAAAAAAAACATTATTCATGATTTAAATTTAGAGACGATTACAAACTATGAGAATGACAATGAGAGCGATGAAGAAACAGTATACGAATACGTATCTACAGTGTAGTAAATAATGTTCTTTATTCACACTAAGTATTTAATAAAACATTCGTTCCAAGCACACCTCCTCTCAATATTTAGCAGAAGCATGTTTTATAAAATATATTAAGTCAATTAATGTAACTAACATCTTTTTTTTTTTTTAAATGATTTTATCAATTGCATGCTGCATGTGAGAAATCTTAAAGTGAGTATTTGTATATTTATTTATCAATTGATCTCTTTGATTTCTAATTTAAAGGAATATTTCAAAGCATGAAATCAAAATGTATAAAAGAAATTGATGCAAGGATTCTTCTTACTTTTTTTTATTTCCAGATAAACGATTATAATTGTATAAAAGAAATTGATACAAGAATTTTTCTTACTTTCTTTTTTTTTTTTAAGTTTTTTTTTCTAGATAAACGATTATAAATATTGGTTAATATTACGTTAGGTATCCAAAAAAAAAAAACCCTGTAAATAATATATATTTTACAAATTTTTCAGTGGACGCTGCGTATGGGCTGGCCATCACCAGTTTTATACTGGTGTGTGGCCTGCTGCTGTCACTCCTCTTCCGCTTTTTAAAGCGGAAGATGGAGTGGACATGCCGTTGTCCAGTTAAGAGGAGATCAGAGGCCCCCCGTCTAGGGATGCAGTTTAGAAGGCCGGGTAACACCGACATGAGGGCTGAAATATACGAGATGGATGAGACACCCGCACCCCCCGTCGGCAAGCAGACGAAGAGTAAGCTTCCAGCGCCGACGGGGGGTCCGGCGTACGACCTGAGATCTCAACAAAAAAAGAGGACAATTTTATAAAATGTAAGTAACAAAAAAAAATATTCGTATTTGTGAAATAATTTCTTTTTAAAATTTTAAAATGCTTCAATTTAATATCACATTTACTTAAAATTTAAAGATCGTATTTTTCTATAAGAAATTAAAAACTTGGGTTTGAAATACAATTTAATGTTGTTTTTTTTTTTTTTTAACAGGAAGACCTGAGGAGCTAATTGGAAGTTTGCTGGATTTTTTGTTTTTATTTTTTTTTTGTTTTCTTTACATGTAAATTGATAAAGATTATTTCTGGAAATACACCGACTTTTTTCTTTTCTCGGAAGGCATAAAACTTTTTCTCAGTAGTCTTTTTTTCCCACAAATCGTCTTAAGACTAAGAATTTACGGTCATTCTATAAAGTTGACAGTCGTTACTATTTGTCTAATCTCGTGCGTAAATATTATTCTTAGTCGTAAGAGTTTTGGGGGAAAATGAACTACGAGAAATAATTAAAGTACATTATATAACTGAAATCTTTCAGTGCACTTAACGAGGATAGTGGACTTTAAACGAGACAAAAAAAATACAGATGGGAAAAAAGGATTTAAGGATATACGATCCTCGGCCAGGAAGGATAACTCCTAAATTCATAATTTAATTCAAAAAGTCTTAAAATAAAGCTTGAAATTGATTTTTTTTCATGCAACAATTAAAAATAACAAAATTTAATTTTTGTACCGCATAACATTAAATAAAACTTGCATATTTTAAAGAAATCAAATTTCTTTTACTTTAGCCTTAGTTACCAATGTTTATAAGCATGATTTGAAATTAAAAGTGATTTACGGTGAATAAAAAAAATCTTTGTGTAAGAGGCTTTAAAATGAAATATGATTTACAAACCTTTTTATTTTGAGTACACAAGTACTTGAAAAACTTTGTAAACTCAGACGTATAAAGTGAAGATTGGAGGGTGAAAAAGTTATATTGAAAAGAAGGTGATTTAATCATTCAAATGAAAAAATGAAAATATAGGTTATATAGATTCCAAGACTCAAATAATGATGGTGAGTTGTAAAAATATAATCAGTGTAAGAATGACTGAGTAAGATAAAAAAAAAAAACTTGGCTAGATGCAATAAGAAAAGGTGATCAACGTTATGAAGATTTTAAGCAAAGCTTTTTTTTTTTTAAATGAGCACACATTTCATATAATGCATGTAGTGAAATGGGGAAAACCTAGTTTTGACAAAAGAATTTTCCTACTGAAAGAATGTTTTTTCACGTTGACATGGAAACAGCCAATGAAGGTGTACCTGAATGTTGAAAAAGGGCAAACAGACGTATCTTATATATAGTATGTGGTGAATCCTCCAAAGGATAAGGACGTTATTTGTCGGAAAATTCCCCCGAAAATCAAAATGTTTCAGTGTGGCTTTTGTCATTTAATGTTTAACGACTATGTCAGCATGTCAGAACATGAAAAAAACCACGAACAAAAATCAAACCGTGGAAATCATGGAAATACACACTCAATAAGGTAATGATTTATTTTTTAATGCTACAGCATTCCGAATCTAAATAAGCTATGATACACTGGTAATTTATGAGTCTTGTATGATTAAAAAAAAAGGAAAAAAGTGAAAAAGAAATCAAAGAAATTTCATTAAAAAAAAAACAAAACAAAACAAAAAAAAACAAAAAAAAAAAACCGAGTATAGAAATATAAGAATGCACGTAAGGGTAAGGGAGGTAACTTGCATAAGGTCACTGTTACTTTTTTACGTTCAAGAGTTACAGTTGATAAGACCAGCTAGATCATTGTTATCGGTAACAAATACTGAATATTGCTTAAAATAACAAATACGATTTTGTCCTATAAAACGGAATTCACAAACATAAACTTTATATTTAATGTACTGTATTTTGTGTATGTGTGTGCGTGAATCAATTTTGGAATGACCTTGTATAAATATTCGACATGGAGTGATTTTCACATATTTTACGCTTTTCAATGAAAGGGGACAACCTTACTGAAGTCACTAAACACCACCAATACCAGATTTCATAATTTAGTCTTCATCAGAAATCAAAGGAGTTCATGTTTTAAAAAAAAAAAACAAAAACAAAAAAAACGAAACGGTGTTTACAAAACACACGGTGTACGGTTCACAGTTTGGTGTAAAAATTCATTACTTTTATACAACGATAGTAGTATGGTATGCCATTTCGTTTAAAAATTTGTTTGTTTATGAAAACTCGATAACACGATATATTGCCTTTATGTAAAAAGCCAAAATAGTGTATACAATGTCGATAATATGGTGTGTCGATTCAGTTAAATACGTAATGAAAAAAATTGACACTATGGTGACCCGTTTTGGTAAAAAATGTCACATGATATGACATGTCGTATTTGATTTAAATACATTTTAATTTGTAATTTTGGAAACAATATTTTAAGCAAGTGTTTTTGTTATGTAAAGCATGATGAAAATTTAGTAATTCAATATAAAATTTGATCGTAAGAAATGACATTAGTTCTTAAAATCATTTTAAACTAACATTTGTAATATATAGTGTATTACTTTTATCCACAATGCAATAGCTATAGAGATTTAATATTTATAATAGAAAGTATGCTAAAGAAATGATTGTGTGTGTAATACTATGACAAAAATCCAATTTAAAAAAAAAAACAAATCGAATTTGATGATAGGGTGTTATTTTCTGCTCTTCATACATTTTATTTATAAAAAAAATGTGGTAAAATGTACGACGTTATGCGTAATGTCTGAGTTGTAAATCAAATGTCAATCAATAGAGTTTTAGCTTATTTCAATAAAAGATCTACCTTGTACATATTTTGATTTCAAATACGATATGTTTTAGTCCAGTGGTTCGGGAATATGAGTTGTTTCGAGATATCCAGGACATGGATTGGTCCAACACCCAACAAAGCTCAGACGAACCCATGGAGATCGATCATCTGTTCAACTCATCCGAAAAGGACTTTGGAAACATCCTTGAATGTACATTTCACACAGAAAGTTCTCTGCTGGTGGACCCGAACTTTATTTCTGCTGATTAATCAGAGATTACCGATGCCACTTTCCACGAAGGAGATTCTTTACTACTGCATGATGAACCCTTCGACTTTTTTGCCAATCAAGTGGGTACCGGTCGTGACGATTTCGACATCAGAATCGTCAAAGAAAAGAAACTGAAAAAAGCCGGAGCGATAGACGTCAATTACGAATTGACCTTTAAGGATCACCTCTTCCGGGAAAAAAAGAAGATGATCGAAGTCAAGGGTTTGCTCAAAGAGGCCTTCGACAATATGCTTCAACACGTGAAAAAAGATCTCCGGCCGGGAGACCTCATGAGGGGTGTCATTTACAACGACCATTTAGACCTACCGGTGTTTGTCCCCTGTCGCCCAATGGAGGAGATGGACGCAGACGCCATGTTGGAAAGTCTGATGATCGTCCTCAACAGTCATCAAGACTTACCTTTCGATTCCTCCTGTCGAATCGACATCGGGGCCATTAAATATCCCCGCAGTGGTACGGGAGTTAAGATGTCTTCCATCGCCAAAACCATCGCAAATAAGACATCTATCGTAAAGATACGTAATACCGATAATAAGTGCCTCGTTCGCGCGGCTCTGGTCTGTTTAGCCAACAGCTGTAAAACCCACGACGACGAATTTGGAAAAGTCAAGGCTCGTCATCCGACTCTCACGACCGGAGAAATTCTCCTTTTCTTTCAGCAGTGTCCGCTCTGGTATTACCAAGATTTGTGTAAAAACCATAACGGAGCGCAGGACACACTGACAAAACGAGTGTGTTCAACGATGAATATCGTCGACGACGCTCCTCTGACTTACCTGTACATTCCTCGTTTAGAAGAATTCCTCGGTGTAAACATCTACGTCATCAGTGTTAAGATGGGAAATGCCTTCTCTTACATCAGTCCCAACTACGACGAGGAACGAAAGAAGATATTCTTACTTCACGACGACTCGGAGGAATTCGAACACTTTCACCCCATCACGTCGCTGGCAGGTTTCTTTTGCCGATCACGATTCTGCAGTTCGTGCTTAAAACCGTACGAGAAACCGTATGGACATCAATGCCGAAATCATTGTAACGTCTGTTTTTCTGACAATTGTAGCGTACAAGAGAAGAGAACTTGTCCAGACTGTCACCAGACCTGTCGCTCTGGGTCCTGTTTCGTTCGACATAAAAATCCGCTGGAAGGGGGCGTCATACCTTGTGAGCTCCGATGCAAATGTCCGACCTGCAATAAGATCTTCTTACGTCACGAGTTAAAACCCGAAGATCATCGCTGTGGGCATTACACGTGCAAGTCTTGCAGGCAATACGTAGACCCCGAACATCTGTGTTACGCTAGGAGTCACAACTCCAAAGAAAACCAGAACAGTCGTCGATTCATTTTTGCCGACATCGAGGCATCGCAAAAAGACGAGATCGTTCAGTGTGAATGGGGATACACACCTTTACGTCGCTTAGACTGTTCCGAATGTCGATCAGAAGGAAACCCGTGTCCCTCTTGTCGGGTCTGTCCGCACTGTCGTAAATCGCACTGTGGCAAATTTAAACACACCGTGGTCTTGGCAGTGTGTCAGACCGCCTGTGAGAAATGCGAGAACGACGATCTCACGCCCGATAGCGCGTGCGACATTTGCGGAGATCGATGTTCGACCTGTCGGAAGAAGGACAAGAAGACCAAACAGTACGTCTCACCCCCCTGTCCCGGTCGATGTGGACGTCGGGAACAGGTCTTCCAGAATTTACACGATCTCGGAAGTTGGATCTTTCACGAACATCACAAAGGATTTACTGTCCTGTTCCATAATCTCTCGTACGACGGTCAGTTCCTCTTACAATACCTGTTGTCACAGTCCATCCGTCCCTCTTTCATCATCTACAGGGGAAGTAAAATTCAAATGTTTAACCTCAGCAGTCTTCAGATCAGGGTCATCGATTCGTTTAATTTCCTACCCATGGCTTTAGCCAAACTTCCCAAAGCCTTTCAGCTAGAATCTTTGGCCAAGGGATACTTCCCTCATTTTTTTTACATGCCAGGCCAACCGAAATTACGTGGGACCTTACCCGCCTGCCGAGACGTACGGTCCCAATGGCATGTCTGTCGAAGGTAGGAAAGAGTTCTTCAAATGGTACGAGTCTAAAGTCGACAGTGGAGAAATAACGAAATCCTCAAGTACTGCCGGAGCGACGTCGACATCCTCCGACGCGCATATCTCAAGTTCAAGAACCTCCTCCTGGAAGCTACAGGTAGAGACGGAGGTCATAGCGTTGACGCGTTCAATTCCAGTACCATTGCATCTCTCTGCATGGACGTATATAAGACGAAGTTTTTATCCGAAGACTGGAGGGTCCTGGTCAGAGAGGACGACCAAGAGCGATGGCTTGACGTTAAGAAACTGGACGGGGAAGCGACTGTGAATTACGAGGATCGGTGGGTACCGTGGAACGATCTCAAGCAACTTAACGTCGAGATCATTAAAGAAGAGTTCGTCAAGTCTCCCATTGCTCGACCCCCACCGAAGAGATATCCGTCCCGCATTAATTATAGTCGTAAATCCATCTGCTGGCTGGAGTTACTGAAACATCAAGCTCAAGCCTCGGGGCGAGTGTTAGACATTCAACACGCCCTAACGGGACGTGGGGAATACCGAGTACCCGGTACCCGCTATTCCGTAGACGGATATACTCCGCCCAATGCAGAACACCCTCGTGGCGTGGCTTACGAATTTCATGGTTGTCTGTACCACGGCTGTTTCGTCTGTTACAAGGCCCGAGACGTCGTGATGATCCCGAACTCCGACCAAACAGCTGACGAATTGTTTGCACTGACGAAACATAAAGAGCGTCGTCTCCGAGAGGAGGGACTCAAAGTCGTTACCATCTGGGAACACGAGTTTGACGCCCTGTTAGTTGCAGATGTCGATGCCAAGTCGTTCGTCGATAGTTTGGAAGTGGTGGATCGTCTGGACCCTCGGGACAGTCTGATGGGTGGACGTACCAACGGATGTGTGCTCTACAAGCGAGCGATGAGGGATGCAAAAATAAAATACGTCGACTTTACATCGCTGTACCCCTTTGTCAATAAGACGTGTCGTTACCCCGTCGGACACCCAGACATCGTCACTCGCGATTTCGCCGAACTGACGACGTATTTCGGATTGGCCAAAGTCAAAGTACTTCCACCTCGTGGTCTCTTTCATCCGGTCTTAGGTTATCGCACAGGAGGTAAATTAACCTTTCCCCTCTGTCGAACGTCAACAACAGACACCCTGTGTCTGTAACGACACACAGAGGGCTCTGACGGGGACGTATTGCACACCAGAACTCTGGAAAGCCGTCGAAAAGGATACCAAATCTTAAAAATCTACGAGATCTATCACTGGAATGAAACGTCGCAATACGACTCAAATGCAAAGACGGGAGGCCTTTTTGCGTCCTACATTAACATGTTTCTTAAAATAAAACAAGAGGCCAGTGGGCGACCGGCATGGGTCCACACCGAAACCGATCTCGAGCGTTACATTGAATTGTACGAAGAAAGGGAAGGCATTCGCCTAGACCCGAACAAAATCGAAGTCAATGCAGGTTTAAGGAGTTTAGCAAAACTGTTGCTGAACAGTTTCTGGGGGAAATTCGGTCAACACATGAATCTGACCAAAACTCAATTTATTCACGACAGCCAGGCTCATGTACTCTTCTGTCAGATGACTAACCCCACCGTCCAAATAGTCGACTTTAATATCGTGGACGACGAGAATCTGATGCTTTCCACTAAACGCATCTCGGAGGAAGTGTGTGAACCGGGTCATGCTAACGTTTTCTTAGCGTCCTTCACCACCTGCTGGGCACGATTAAAACTCTACGAGCTACTGGATCAATTACAATCCCGCGTACTCTACTGGGATACCGATTCCGTGATTTACATGACACACGAAGGGGAATGGGAACCTCCCGTCGGGGACTATTTAGGTGAACTCACTAACGAACTTGAGGAGGGAGACTGGATCACGGAATTCGTGTGTAATGGCCCTAAAAACTACGCCTATCAAACCCACAGAGGTAAACGCGTCTGTAAAGTCAAAGGATTTTCCTTAAATTATGCCAATTCGCAGATCCTTAATTTAGAAAGTATGAAGGATGCCATGTTTAATAGAGACGACGCTCACCTCGGCGTTTACCACACCCACAACCCCAGCCAGATCCGTCGAGAAAAAATTCACAGTGAACTGTATTCGCAAGAAGAACTGAAGGAATATTCTGCCGTATATACCAAACGGGTCGTCCAGTCGGACCTGACCACACTGCCATACGGATATTGATTAAAAAAAGACAATTCTTTTGATTCATATCATTTTATTGACAATGATTTTTTTTTATTTTGTACATAATGATTTGCTTTAAATGTCAAAGAAAATGTAACACTTGTCAAATATACATCAATGTATTGTCATTCAATAAAAAATAATTAAAACTTGATCCAGGTCGTCCTTCTTTTTTTCGGAGGGCGTGAGCCCGGAGGGGAATTCCTCTTTCTCTTTCCCGTCCCCGAATACATTAAACCGGATCCGTCTTGAGTCTCCAGGTTTCCTGTGGGGGGCGGGGGCAGGGGCTCTTCTATGGTAGGTGGGGGAACTTTCTCTTCTATGGTGTTAACACTCCGGTCTTGTGTCTCTTTCCGTTCATTCTGTTTCATCCGGTCGAACGTCGTCTTCTTCACGAGGAGGTATTCCTCTGCCATCTTTGAAATAGGGTTTAAGAATCAAGGGTATGGCCTGGGACTGTTTCCGTAGTAATTTACGAGTGTCGATGTCGTCCACTGCACGGTCACTGAGGGACTGAAGGAGAGTCTTGTAAACTTTTAGTTTTGTCTTGTAGTAACCGGAAATTGGAAAGTGACCCGCATACAGGTTCAGAGCAATTTCTCTGAAGGCCTCGATCTGTTCATCGGTAGCCATATTTACGAGCTGCTTCCTCTGAACGACATCTGCTTTGTACAAGAATTTGAGGAAGGCTTCGTGACGACTGGTTCTCGGTGACATGATGGAGGAAAATGACGACTCTGACCGTCGTTGGTCTTATTTATTTAGGAAGATAAACGACGGTGTCCCCTTCTGACGGTAAGATGTTGGTGCGCAGACGTTTGTCTTCGGGGCAATGATTAGTCAAATCGACCAAAATGTAACCGTAGGGGCGACGCACGGCTTTGGCATAGGCGTCCATCCAAAATTTAGAACGACCGGTAAACACCTGACTCCCGAAAGTGATGATCTGACGATTGTCTCTCACGTTCTTAAACAAGACGACGTGTTGACAATTTAACAGAATGCTCTTGGCGTACACGCCGGGAGGGTAAAGATTTTGAGACAAGAGAAAGGCCGTCATGTTGGAATGAGACACCATCGTCTGAAAGAGGTGTAAGGCGTCGGGACTTTTCGTCACCAAATGTATCATATCGTCTAAAACGATGACGGTGTGAGGTGAATCCACACACCACTCTTGAATTTCCTCACGATTGGGGAGACCTCGATAGGTGGAGAAGTGTGAAAGGGTCGACAGCATGTCATTTACGATGGGTTGGTCTTCCAGGTAACAGTAAACGATCTTGCTGGGGGTGACGTCGAATAGCTCGGAACCGTGTTTTAACATGTTCCAGACCAGATGGGTCTTTCCAGACATGGTACCACCGATGACGGCAAAAGAAGTGGGAGTTTTAAATTTCATCGTGACCGACTCTTCGACGGTCTCTAGAACACTAAGCTCCTACCAGATCCATCCTCTCATTAAAAATAAAAAAAATACCAAAAAAATTGGGTCTACGTTTTTTATTGGTTACACGTAAATATAGATACAAAAGATGGCAAATAATAAAAATACAATCCTCATGGACATACAGAGAATGATTAATGTTATAGAAAAAAGGGGATTCCGGGGCCGCCGCCGCCGCCGCGCGCACACCTGGTTTCCGGAATCCTTAGATTTCCGGAATCCCAGGTTCCCGGAATCCTTAGATTTCCGGAATCCCAGGTTCCCGGAATCTCAGATTTTTCCCCCTATGTTTACATTTCCAAACAATAAAAGAGTCATGAACATTCATACATGATATGGTAATGCAATAGGTACAAAAAAAAAAATGCAAAATATACAGTCATACACATAAATGTCAAACAATGCGTTTCCCCTTTAAAACGACGTCCCGAACGACAGTCTCCGAGGTCTCACGAATGACACTGGACATGGCGATCCCCTTGGCGCGGCAATAGAGATAAAACAAGACGTGTAGTCCGCAGCTGGTGGCTGAGTCCGACTGCACTTGCACGTTGTTGTAGAGACAGAGAAGGGCATTGCGATCGATAAAGTCTCTCAGGCGGGTGTCGTACTCTTCCGGTAATCTTCCGAAACTGTCGTAAAATTCGCATTCGTTGGCGTTATCGAACCAGTAAGCGACCCAATGCGAACCTTTCTTATCGATGGGGTCCGTGTTACACACGAAAGCAGAAGGAAACTGGCGGACTCGCGAGGGAAGTGTATCAGACGCAAACACACCACGAAAGTGAGATTTCAATCCCGGAAATGTTTGAACAAGATCAAGTAACTGAATCGTGTCCATTTTTTTTCTACAGTAGTCGTATCTCTCTGGCTTGATCGACGAGGAGAAGTCCCGGGTATTCACAAAAAGCAATAGCACTGACGGTTTCTGTCGTGGCTGTAGCGAATCGAGCATATACTCCGACGTTTCCCTGATGAACCAGGTTTATATACCCCTCACCCAAGTCGTTGGGGTCGAGGTCAAAAGCGTAAATGGCGTAGCCTTTGGAAAATTGGTCACGGTCGATGTAAAGACCGTCATCCTTGTACCATTTGTCGGACGCTTGATACAGGTTACAGAGAGCGGAGACGTAATTTCGATTGGTATCAAAGTCCATTTTGAGGGGACGAACGGGGGTGGGTTCTCCGTTGACGGTCACGACGATTTCGGACAGGCTTAGGTGCTGAAAGTTGAACGGGTTGCCCTCGTAACTTCCATTGACGGACGATTGTTTTACAAAGGCGACGTACATCTTGGAAGGTCTTCTTCCGTTCCACACGTCGTCCCAGTAAACTTCACTGGTCTTGTCCGAGATGGACAACATCTTGACGTCCGTTTTCAGGTAGTTGTACCGGGCCGGCGATTTGGTGATGGCATTGGCGTGGTTCAACAAGACGGCGCTGTCTAATCGGATTTTACATGCCTTAAAGACCGCATCGAGGATGGTCACTTTGTAATTCGGAGAGGCTTCCTTACTCATCAATACAAATTCGTTTCTGGAACGAAATAGTCTCAGTTGTAGGTCGACGCCGTTGATCAGGTACTTGTCGAGGTAGAAACAGTCGACGTACAGGGGTCCCTCCAGATCGAATGTTTTAGACAGCTGCGTAAAGACGTAGCGCGATCGAAGACCCTGGTTTCGTCCCCCGGCGGCATCTGGATCGTCCAGGGCTTCCTTGTCTGGGTAGTACAACTGGGTCTGTAACTGAGAGTTGATGGCAGCGGGTCCGTTAGATAAGAGGACTTTGAGGTAAGCTTTCCAAGGATAATTATTGGCGTTCTGAGAGACGCATTTCCCATTCATGTAGACGTCGATCTGAGAGAAGAGGGACTGTAGTGGTAAGTTGACGATACCCGTTTTTTCAGAGGACCCGAGGGCCGTACCGTCCGCTTTGGTGATTTTGGCTTTCGAATACAGACGACTCCTTCTCAAATCGATGTATTCGTTTCCCCCTCCCGGAACGGCGAATTCGAGAGGAGCGGTTTCGCCGTCAAAGGAAGAAACGGGTCGTATTTCGGAGAAATAGATTTTTTGTACAGCCACCTGGTTCGGAGAATCGCTAAAGAGAGACAGTTCGGAGGGTTCTGCCACCGACGTGTTGATCTCGCTGAGGAATGCCATGATTAAAAGATGGGTTTCTTAGGAAGACGGGAATTTTTCTGGGCGGTGTTTTTTTTCGTCTGTTTTGTCGACTTCTTTTTCGTCGGTTTTGTCGACTTTTTTTTCTTGGTGGGTTTGGCTGGTTTACGAGGTTTTTTCTTTGGTTTCTGGACACGTCCTTTCCCGTTGGCAGTCGATGTGCGACTGGGCAATTTCTTCGTTTTCTTGCTTTTTATTGTTTTCTTGAGAGGCATGTGAGGCTCGTCGTTCCGGATGGTTTCTTTCAAATCGGACAGAGCTCTCTCCTGCTCGGCAGCCACGGGAGTCACCTGATGAATGGTGTGATTGGAAACGGGGTTGCGAGATTTCAAGGGAATCATGTAAGCTTTACGTCGGTTTAAGATACCTCTTCCTCTCTGAGCGTTTCGTCGTATGGACGGAATGAAGTTTTCACCCCCCTCCGTGTGATGAAATTGTTCCCACAGAGCGGGGTTTGAAATGTACGTGGGTCCAGACATGATTGATCAGAAACGTCGAAAGACGAGTGTCACCGTCGATTCTCCGGCTAAGAATGAGACGTCGCAGTCGTTTTTGTCCCTTATATACACGTGTATGTCCCTCAAATCATGGATGCGTAACGGTATGCGATAAGGTCGAATAAAGATGACGTTCTTGTCGTTTTCCAGAACGATGCGTCTCAGGAGGGGTTTTTGACGTTCCCCCACGAAACTTTCGTCGCAGACGGAGCAGTAGACAAAGATTTCTTGGTCGGACGTCGGTTTCACCTTTGAGTTGCGAAATTCCGTCAGTTCTACCGTCCAATCCCCCGTTAAGGGCAAGGGGCGGGGTAGACGTACTCTAAAGTCGCTCGGTCGATTATCACCAAAGACGGAGGGACTGTCCGAAGACTTGAGAACCATATGCATCGACATCTTTCCGAGGAATGAAGGGATTGGAACGCGTTACGACTCTTTTATATCGGATCGTGGAATCCAACTGTCAAATTTCTTGGGCCATCCCAACCATCGCACCAGAACCTCTTCTCGGCCGCGAACTTTGCGTTTCCGTAGCACCTTCTCGATCCTCCAGATGGTCTGGTCGTCTTTAGACACTTTCTGGAGCTCACTGGCATAAAAAGTACCTCGAATCGGATCGTCCATCATATCCTTTAACTTGTAAATGGGGAGACCCTGGGATATAAAACGCTCGCTGACGACGAAAATTTCTTCCGTGTAGGTCTGATCGTAATCTCGCTGAAACGCTCGTCTCAGATGCGTAATTCGAACTTGATAACCCACTTTAAACGTATAGGGTTTGCGCTTCTTTGACGAAAAGGATTTCTTAACCCTTGGTGTTGCAGAGTCTTTTCGACGTCGAACTAGGTAAGCATCGAGTCTCACTTCTTCTTCATTCTCTTGGTTGACCGAAGCAGGCGTGCGTCCATTGAGCGACCTATTGGGAGTTCGGTTGATGGATTGGACCACGTCTTGTAGGATGTCGAGGTACTTGTATTTCTGAACGTGGGTAAAGTAACGATATAATCGTTTCTTTAAGGTTTGAATATATCTTTCGGCAAAGTTGGCTTTGGTTTCGTTGAGGGCATAAAATATCTTTATTCCTTGCTCTTTCAGATACTGTTGGAGGTAACGGTTATAAAATTCCGAACCTTTATCGGTACGGATGGCTTTGGGGTGTCTGGGACCTCTGAATACGTCTTTAAATGCATCGATAACGGTTTTAGCTTTTCTATCTTTCAAGGGTCTGACCCAAAGCATGCGAGAAAAGACGTCTACGATCACCAAAAGGAATTTAATGCCGTCGTTGTACTCTGACAGATTTTGAACGTCAGCGAGATCGGCTTCCCACTGATAATCTATGCCCTGGACGATGACTCTTCTCCTCTTGAAGCCTCGTCGACGCACTTTCTTTTGAAGTGAATAGGCATCTTGATTTTGTAGGAATTTTTTTATTCTTTTCATGCCTATGTCATATTTTCCCTCTCGTTTCACCACTTGATATAATTTGGAGGGTCCCGCAAAGGACCCAGCATGGCGAGGATCGTACCATATTTTCTTAAGGTACTCCTCCATGAGTCACTTCTTGTTGACGACCGACGTGTAAATGACACGACTTTTCTTATAACAGACCTTTTTATACCTTCTCTCATAGACAAAAGAAAAACAAAAAGTAAAAAATTCTTTTATTTTTATTTGAACGTCATAAAAACACGTGATTTCAAATGGGGAACAAAACACATGAATGTCACACACTTCTCTACATGTACAAAATGCATGCCTCACTACTACGTTCAATCTATGTCAATACGACTCGGAGCACGTGCTTTACGTGTCCTAGATCTGTTGTTTCGGATTCTCGGCAGGCAAAGTTCATGACGAGAAATGCTCAGCGTAAGTTTTTTTTAAAAGAAGTACATTTTATAAAAAGAACAAGTCTTTCACATTTTTTTTAATGGCGCACATTGGAGGTTCTCTTTCTCCAGTCATCGTATTTTCCATCTGATACCATCTGGGCATAGATACAGTTCTTGGACCAGCGAAGATGTTCTTTGTAAGCGTCGTCCACAGGTTCCCAGTTTTTCAGGGTCATACCACAGGAGAAACAAGTGACTCTGTCTCCGATCTTTGTGTAGATGAATCCAGAACGTGCCAAGTCTTTTTTGTTGGGTCCCCTCAGATATTTCGGCCAATCCCCAAAACTGGCATACCACTCGGCAAAGTTGACGTATTCTGGGTACTTCCAGTTAGAAACCTCTTTTTTAGGTAGAGGTGGTGGAGGAATGTTTTGCACTGGCATTTGCACCGTGACGTACTCCTCCATTTTCTTCTTGCACGAGGAGGAATCTGGATAACCCCATGCAAAATTAGCATTGCTATCTGCCTCCCAAGAGGGTTCACATTCTAAAGAAGATGTGGTACTCCAATCAAAATTGGGAGCAGAGTCGGTTTCCATCAGGTTAGGCATTCCATCTAGCGTGGAAGTCATCTTGATCGGTCGAGAAGTAGACGTGAAATGACGATTCCCAAAAAGAAATTCTCTATTTATACGATTACGACTTATTCGTGCGTATCTTTCATTGTGTCTCTTTTATTTTCCTCTTTCTAAAGAAACAAATCGAGGTCATGACTATTTTTGTCGTTTTCATTATCTTTATGACAAAAAAGAGTTTGACGTCATGGGTTTTTCCGATTCGTTCTTCAATAACTTTGTACTTTTCCATTTCTTTGTCTCAATGACAATGTGCATGACGTCATGGTTTTTCCGGTGTATTCTTTGGCCTTCTCTTTTTTTTCATATCCCCGCCTCATTACCCACATTTTTCTTTCATTGTTATCAAATAAATGGCTATTGACGGCGAAAAAAAAATTCCATGACGTAGTTCTCACTTCCAGTATAAAAGTCGCGCTGCGAATATTTTCTCATCTTCATTTCGATCACCGAACGAACAACATGTCTACTCCTCGCTTCTCCGTGGCATTAGAAAATGGACGTTATGTTAGAGTCCAAACGTGGAAAGAAGAAATCAGAGTTGATTTGAGGGAATGGGAAATTCAACAGCCATTTATGAAACCCACTAAAAAAGGCATCAGTTTGAAACTGCTCTCATTTAAAACCCTCATCGACACCTTGGATCAAATCGAAACCGCATTAAAAGAAAATGTCGACGGAAAATGGCACTTGGGCTTTAATGTCTATGTCACAGTCAAGACAGACAATCCCTGCGTCGACATTCGACAGTATTGGAAACCCTCGAGTGAATCGGATCTCGTTCCTACTAAAAAGGGCCTCTGTCTTAGACCACTGGAATACCAAAACTTGAAAAAACATATCAGTGACATCGAAAAGATCGTACCAGAGCTGGAGCAGGTCATCCCTTGTCATGAACGGGACGATCATCATAACCAGTTGGGAATGTTACAATGTAACGCCTGTAACCCCGATGAATTCTACAAGTGGTGAAAAAAAACTGTTGAAAAAAAAACTGTAGAAAACTGTGACTTATCTTGTATCTATAGACATTTAAAATCATTCCTTAGACATTGATTTATATGTTATTGATGTGTTTTTAAAAAAATGTTATCAGAGAATCAATGAATCTGTGTTACATTTCAATTGATCTTTTGTCTTTTTGGTCACATGATAAAAAACAGTGTCTGATATAAGGATTGAAAGTAAAGGAAACACCTCAGTCAGAAACCGACTGGGAAACCATCATGAGTGTTCGTTACGTATCTGGAAACATCTGCACTCTTATTGATGTAGACGCCATTTGTCATCAAGTCAATTGTTTAACAGTCAGGTCCCACGGCCTTTCCCAACAAATTGCTCAAAAGTATCCTTGGGCTGATATCTATAACTTGAGAGTCCCCGTTGGAAGACGAAATTTAGCTACTATTGAAACACGAGGATCTCCGGGTACGCTTTGTATTTTCACAAAAGCACTGTGTCCGACAGTCGTTTGTTTTCTGTCTCAGTGGGATTTCTGTCGATGTCAAAGTGTCAGAAAACGTATAATTCCACCGTTCTCTGATACAAGAGAAAACAGAATTTATTGGTTTCGACAATGTCTACAAGAACTTGTCAAGACGTCATTTCAAACCATAGCTTTTCCCTATAAGATTGGATGTGGTCTTGCCGGAGGAGAATGGAGTGAATATTTATTTCTCCTCGAAAACTTTGCAAAGACCTCTCATAAAAACGTTATCATAGTTGTTCCTTGTACCCTTACATAATTCCATGTTCAAAAGAACACTATTCTTAATAAGAATGACAAAATAATGTTTTCATATGATATTTATTGGTATTTATTTTGAACATGTGTTAAAAGAAAAATAAAAATTCATTTCACTTTCAAAAATTGTTTGGTTTTTTTTTGTTTTTTTTGTAACTGTTCCTTTAACTCCACAGAGGATCTTCTTTTCGCCAAACTCCGTCCGGCCACAAAAACTCACATCTGCCACTTGCGTAATATTCCCACATTGAATCGTCGTAAGCTCGATCCATATCTTCAAAGGGAATACGATCGGACATGGTTATTCTCAGAACTTCTGGAATACTCAAAGGTTCCTCTTTGTACGATACTTTTTCGTCCATGTCCTGTGCCCGCAGACAAAATGTCGTCATCTTCATGACATCCGTTTCGGCTTCCATTGCCAGTTTCACGAGACAGTGTTTCTCGTGTACGAGTTTACTTCTCAAATCGTAATGTTTCGTGCAGTAGTCACAGCAGGTCGCATTCGGGTTATTTGCAATATAACCATCTATGAGTTTTTTGACAGCCGCTGCAATTCTCAAGAAATTCACAAACCCCGCTTGTCCTTCCGCTTCTTCTGTTGCGATCCTATAATAGTATTTTATCGCTGACATTATGTTGTGCTCTGGTGTGATCTCGACCCACAGTATGATCCTCATTTCATTTTGCGTCTCTTTTTATTCAGAAATGAATAAGTAGGTCATGGTCACCATACGTTAGTCTACAATGACATCTCCTTTCTTTTGTTTGACTATTGTCTCCTTTCTTTCAACCTTTTTCACAAGTGGAAAATCCCCAAATGAGTTCCATTGTTCCCTTTCTTGACGTCACTGGTTTTTCCCACTCTCCATTGTTCCCTTTTTTCTATACCTCATTGTTCCCTTGTACTCTCCCCTTTCTAGGTCAAGGCTACACCATTGTCCAAGGACACTCGATCATAAATAGGTCAAGGTCATCTGGGTCTCCATTGTCCCCTCCATTGTTCTCCCATTGTTCTCCCCATTGTTCTCTTACACAATACCCCCATTGTATACTCCCCTCAGGTGTCGGTATTACTACTCGGACAGACGGACGGACGGACGGACGACGGACACAATGTGATCAGAAAAGCTCACTTGAGCCTTCGGCTCAGGTGAGCTAAAAACGGCTTCAGCTACAAACCTGAAATTTTCAGGGATTATATAGGACGTGTTCCCATGATGCACGTGGGTTTTCAAATTTTCAAAAAGTGTGGCATGGAAAGGGTCTAGGGCTTGAAATTTAGGAAATGAATTTGTAACGGGCGGTTGCCCAATAGTCCCAGAATCAATCAACAGGAATCGATTTCAGTTTTAACCGTTATTTTAATTACAATAATAAACATCAAAAACAATGATAACAATGCTTACAGGTCAAATACAGACCGCTCTCTCCTCTAAACACGTTCACTTTCTTCAGTATAAAAATCAGCACTCCTCAAAATTACAACAGTCGTCAGTAATAATACCGTCGGGCTAACCCGTGCCGGGATGTACTGTGACGTCATACTCATAACATAAAAATGACTTTTAGCACAAAATCAATAGAACAATAAGTATTACGCTAAAAATAGCAATAGGTTTGTTTTATAAATAATAAACATAGACTTATGCTAATTTAATGTCAGTCAATATGCAAAAGTAATAAACAATTACTGGTTTATTAATTAATAAATATTCAATAAAGACCTCAACTGTCACAAATTAAAGAGTGAATTTTCGAGACATTTTGTATTATATCTTAAAAAGTTGTCATTTGAACATACTGAACAATATTTGAGTAAATGACCGGATCTTTCAAATGATATCAATTAAAAAGTGCTGACTAATCAAATTAAGGATAAAAAAGGTCTAAAACAATTTGCATTATAACTCTTAAACGATCAATATTTTGTGATACATTATTGGAACAAAAATGTTCCTCTTAATGATCTTTGAGTATATATCATACTGTTGACGTTATATATTACACATTTAGGGGCAACAAGGGGCTAGTAATATTTTTCTACACCGCTATCTCAGTAATAATTTTGTGGAATTTTTATGAACTTATTCTTAAACATAATGGCAGCAAAATCGTTTTTCTTGACAATATTATCATTGTAAAAAAATTTTTGTATAATAAAATTTCAAAATCTCGTCTGTTCTCATCAAATTCGGACGGAAGACCCACTCGTTAAACGTTGCTCGCAACGAGACCGTATCTAATTATTATTTTTTCTGTCCTTATTTTTGTGCAGAATATTTCTCGAAGATGTTTGGACGGATTTATGTGAAATTTTCAGGGATGATATATCATGATCTGAACTTGATACGTTTTTCCTTACGTTTTGGAAATTCACCTCCGGTCGGGAATCTTGTCCCGACAAAACTCAAAAGTTAGAGTGCCAAAATTTTCAGCGAATATAGTTAGCACGTTGTAGTTTTGTACCTATACTTTCAAATCCTCCGGAAGTGTCTAGTATAGAAGCTCGGTAGGGGGTCGAAATTAAGGACATGAATCATGACTGATTTTTGAGACATTTTGCATTATATCTTTTAAAGTATAATTATTTTGTTAAAACATATAGAACAATATTTGTGCAGAAATGCAAGATCTTTCATTTGATATCAAGAAAAAAGTGCTGACTCATCACATTAAGGGCAAATAGAAGTCAAAATCTTTATTTTATAACTTTTTAACAGTCAATATTTTGTTATACATAACTGCATCAAAAATGTTTATCTTAATAATCTACATCTATACAACTATAAATTATGATTTTTATGTCGTATGTTACATAATTAGGGACCAAAAAGGGTCAGAATGTTCAATCTATTACGCTTTATATCTCGCATGTGGAAAAAAATTGATAAGTTATATTGAACAAAAGATGTTCAAAATAATGATACAATGCAATTCCACACTGACATAATTTAAATTCTATATATTGAAAAAATACACTTCACCAAAAATTATAACTCTTTTAACTATCACACTCCAGAGTAATTATACATTTAAGAATTCAGCAAAATAGATTTTTTGTGATCACGAACCTTTCTTTCTGTGTTTAAAAAATGCTACAGCGCTTGATCACCAATCTTTTTAAAAAGATAAAATTGTTTTAAATTATAATATGATATTCAATAAACCTTTGCGTAAAGGTGGGTCGACCCCGATTCCTTTATTTTTGTGCGAAGTCGAAAATTGACAGTTATCACTTTTAAAAAAAAGCACAGATCTAAAGGAGGTCATTGTTCCTATTCTATGCAGTAGAAATTAATTGTTTGCGACTCCAAATTATCGGGCCGTCGGACTATCGGACCGTCGGACAATTGGGCTGTCGGACTATTGGACCGTCGGACTACTGGGCTATCGGACCGTCGGAATACTGGGCGGTCACCGGAGGAATCCAATATGTCTTCAACACGGTCAAAAGACATATTTCTTGTTGCTTTCTCCAATACTGTTAGAGAACAAGAATTACATGAACAAATTGTTTCACAAATGTCACAAGTATGTTTTCCAGTATTCTGCACAGTTTTTAATGTTTTAAGCAATTGAATTCTTCTGCACTCTGTTGAAGTTAGATATTTTTTTACATCCTGGTCAACTCGATTGTTGTCCGTAATACAATAAAATGGCAAATGAGTGTTGCCAATCTCGTCAAACTCGCCCCGTTTCTCGGATGGATTGATTGATTGTATATTGTTAAACGTCCCTCTTGAGAATTTTTCACTCATATGGAGACGTCACCGTATGCCGGTGAAGGGCTTCAAATTGAGACCTATACTTGGCACTCAGGGCCATTGAGCAGTGAGGGTTCTTTATCGTGCCAGCGCCCACCGTGTCATGAAACCTACGTTTTTAAGGTCATATCCGAAAGACCCGTGACTTTCACTTCTAGTGCCGAGCACTTGACGAAGGAACAGTCACTACCTTTGTTTACGTCTTGGGTATGACGCGGCGCCACGAATGAGAATCGAACCCCGGCCTCCCGATCACTAAGCGAACGCTCTACCACTAGGTTACCGTGACCGGTCCGTTTCTTGGATGAAATCTATCAAACTTTTGGGAATACCCATATATGATAACATTGTGGTATGGTGATACATTTACTCCCATTCCTAATGCACTGGTGGCAACAACAACCCTAATTGACTCTCCCTTGTTAACTGTTCAAT